TCTCTGCATCCTCACCGACCCTCATATTGTCTCTCTTTTTGATTACAGCTATCTCGGAGGGTGTGAGCCATGTGTCAGTGTGGCTTTGATTTGCATTTCCTTCATGACTAATGAGGTTGTGCATCTTTTCACGTGCTTATTATTTGGGACGTATTTCTGTGAGCACGTTATTTTGGAGAAACTTCTGTTTATATTCCTTGGCCATTTTTAATTGAGCTATTGTTTTATTGTTGAATTGTAAGAGCTCTGTATGTATTCTGGATACAAGTCTCTTATCAGATATATAATTTGCAAGTATTTTCTCCCATCCTGTAGTTGCTTTCATACTTTTTCAAAGGTATTGTTTACAGAAAAAAAAAAAGTTCTTAATTTTGGTGAAATCCAGCTTATTTGTTTATTTTTTCTTTTGTGGCATATGTTTTTGTTGTCGTAACTATGGACCAGTGCCTAACGCTATGTGATGATTTACTCCGTGTTTTCTTCTTTTATTTTATTTTATTTTATTTTTTTTATTTATTTGACAGAGATCACAAGCAGGCAGAGAGGCAGGCAGAGAGAGAGAGGAGGAAGCAGGCTCCCTGCTGAGCAGAGAGCCTGATGTGGGGCTCGATCCCAGGACCCTGGGACCATGACCTGAGCCGAAGGCAGAGGCTTTAACCCACTGAGCCACCCAGGTGCCCCCTCCGTGTTTTCTTCTAAGAATTTTGTTTAAGGTTTTATGTTTAGGTCTGTAATCCATTTTTTAAAATGGAATCCAATTTTTAAAAAATTTTATGTATGTATGTACTTACTTATTTAAGACACACAGAGAGAGAGAACAGATAGGGAAGGAGCAGAGGGAGAGGGACAAGTGGACTCAACACTGAGCACAGAGCCTGATGCAGGGTTCGATCCCAGGACCCTGAGATCAGGACCTGAGCTGAAACCAAGAGTGGGACGCTCATTCAATTGAGCCACCCAGGCACCTGTAGGTCTGTAATCCATTTTAAGTTAAGTTTTGTATATGGCCTGAGGGAAAGGATCGACTTCATTCTTGTGCATGTGACTATCCAATGGCGTCAGTACCATTTGGAAAGATAATTTTTCCTCATTGACTTTTCCTGGCACCTTCACTGAAAACCAATGGACCATAAATGTAAGCATTTATTTCTGGACTCTCAAGTCTATCCCATTCCTCTCATATATCTATCTTAATGCCACATGTACGTACCACAAGTACAATGAATGTACTTCATTCCTATCACACGCTGATTACTGTAGCTCTGAAGTCCGTTTAGAAATCAGGAAGTCTGAGTCCTCCTACTTTGTTCTTTTTTTTTATTTATTTAAACTTTATTTCATTTTTTTCAGTGCTCCAAGATTCATTGTTCATTGTTTTGCAAGATTGTTTTTGCCTATTCTGAGTCCCTTGTGTTTATTTCCATATGGGTTTTTAGGATTGGTTTGGTGTGAACTCAAGTGTGAAACAAATGGGCTGATTTTAGCGTAAACCTGCTCAAAGGTTTGTGTGAAAGGCAAGCAGGGGCTTCAAGACACTGACTCTAGAACCGGTTTGGCTTTTTGTGACAGCTGCAGGTTAGAAATCTGCTAGTACTTTTGCTTACTATTTAACATTCATCCAATGCTCCAGTATAAGAGTTTTCTACCAAAACAAATCAGCCAAAAAGACCAAGTGCATCCCATGTCGTCTTCTGTTACCTAGCATGGACTGAGTGCTTGCTTCATGCAAAAAAGCATGTTCTTGTCTGATACAGTTAAAGATTCTGAAGCACTTCAGCTGAGGCCCAGGCCTCCATTTTTTTTTTTTTTTTTTTTTTAAACCCACCAGTAACTCTCATGTAGTTCTTCAGAGAAGAACAGCAGCTACATCCTTACTGACTCTCCCTTACCTCAGGTCTCCCCACTGCCTTAGAGCCTGAGAGACATGGCTATTCAGTGTGGTCTATAAACTGGGGGTTGTGGTAGGGACTTGTCATAAATGATGATCTCAGGCCTCATCTTAGACCAGAATCTGCATTTTACCAATATCCCAGATACTTTATATGGACCAGAGGTTGGTAAACTATGGTCTACAGGCCAAGTGTGGCTCATGGTCACCTCCTATGATGGTGGCCTTCTGTGGGCTTTCCCTGTGAGCTTTGGAGAGCCAACTGCTCCCTCGTCTGCTCCTAGCACTTGTCTGCTGAGCCCACAGCTGTGCCTAGCCTCTGCCCAGGGCCCTGCTGGTCACCACCTACATTTTGGGAACTATGCTGTTGGCAATTTCTGGTCACTGAGCAGTAGAGTTAATGCAACCAAATCACCTTGCCTCCCTCGAGCTTTTAGCTTGAATGGTTGAGCTCTTGGAAAGGAGAAACAGTATGCTGGGATCTGGGCGCCACTGAGGTGGAAGGAGAATGACCACCCTACCAGCCAGACCCCTCCCCCTAGAGCTGTTTGCCTTGCCCCCTGAGAACATCTCCAGCTGAGGGCTACTGAGCACAAAGCATGCTCACCCACCACCCCCACCCCTTCTTCTCCCAGGATGGCCCACCCTTGGCTGGAATTTTTCTCTTATTTCATAATAGTTATGTAATGTTACATAATAGTCTTGATTCTTGCCTCTTGGCCTGATTTTGGCTAAAAAATTTTGTAACCAGCCCTTTACAGGAAACATTTATTTATCCTTGGTCTGTACATCAGAGTTGGAGCTGCTTGCCCTTTGCCTCCCCCGTAGATACGCTGGCCTGAGTTGGATCTTCCCCCACTGCCAGTGCCTTAGATGACTCTTACTCACCCCTTCTGGACCCAGCTTAGGTCACTTTCAGAAAAAGGGTGCCTTTTACTTCCTAGTCCTGGGGAATGGTCCTTTCCCTCTCTCCCCAGGCACCGCCATCAGAACACCTCAGAGATAGCATGTTAACTGAGTTATATACTTCTATCTCACTCTAGGGGTGTCCTTATATTTCAGTGACATCAGTAGGTCTGATATGAGGCTCAAGAATTCGAATTTCTAGTCAAATCCAGGGTGGTGCTGCTGCTGGGCCACGGTGTATCTGGCTGACTCCAAACTCTTCTTGAGATCTCAACTTGCTGGGGTCAGAGAGACATTCCTCCTGGCCCCCCTTATTCTTTTCTTCTGCCCGAGCCCCTTATTTTATGTTTTTTAAAAAATTTTTTGTCTATATTTTTTATCTATATTTTATTTCATGTTTATGTCAGTAATTCTCAAACGTTTGGTTATAGGATTCCTTTACACTCTTAAAAACTACTGAGAACCCAGAAAGCTTATGTGTATATGGATTACAGTTATCAATATTTAATTTATTAGAAATTAATACTGAGAAAAAATTTAAATGTTTATTACATCACTTAAAAATCATAATAAGCATAATATACAGTAACATGAATGATATTTTTATGAAAAATGATATATTTTCTAAAGCAAAAGAAGTGAGAACAGCATCTCTATTATGCATGTATGTAAATATGCGTGTCTGTAGTCGAATTTCTTTACTATGTGGCTCAATAGGAGACAGCTGGATTCTTGGGTCTTCTGCATTCAATTTGTTGTTTTCGTTGAAATACAGAAAGAAGGGGCACCTGGGTGGCGCAGTTGGTTAAGCCTTTGTCTTTGGTTATAATCCCAGGGTCCTGGATGGAGCCCCATGTAGGCTCTCTGCTCAGCAGGAAGCCTGCTTTTCCCTCTCCTGCCTGTGGCTTCCCCTGCTTGTGTTCTCTCTCTCTCTCTCTCTCTCTCTCTCTCTCTGTCAAATAAATAAATAAATAAATATTAAAAAAAAAAAAGAAATATAGAAAGAAAATCTGGTTCCACACATATATAAAATTGGAAAAGGGTAAAGTATCTTATAACCTTTCCAGATAACTGTGGATATTTGACTTGGATACTACACCAAAGCTGGACGGGGGTTGTGCTTTACAAGTGAGTTGGAATCTGAAACAATCTCAGTGTACTTTTCATACTTCTCACTTAAATCCATTGTCCTATCTTGAATGGGTCTCTTTACCCAGGCATGATTTTTGTAACATCATATGCTTATCGTTTGTTCACAGAGTTATGCAGACTTTCCATATGTTGACACATTTCGTTATACAATATTTTAAAATCATTTTTATTAAGTCATGTAACCAAGGGTTAACATTTATTCAAAAAATAACTCTCACTACTTTAGTGTCTTTATTGAAACTAGCTGCCTTTTTTTTTTTGACTCTCTGCTGGTGAATGTCATGACTGCTAATCTAGTTCTGTGTCATTGCCACTGCCTTGCTTTGTGCTAAGGTACCAGCTGCTTTCTACATTGCTGCTTTTGAACTATCAGGACGAATGTCAGCACAGTGAACAAGGCCAATGACATTTTAAAATTATAATGAAAATAGTTTTGACCTCATGGTTCTTCTGAACGAGTCAGGATTCCTAAGCCTCTGTAGACTATAGTTTGAGAATTGTTGGTTTATGTCTTAATGTAAAAAAATTTGTAGGCATTTTGTTTGCATGTTTACATCTTGTCCATCTGAATTGGTGTGCCAATAGTATTAAATTTCTGTGGAGTACCTGCTCTGTGTTCAGTCAGTAAATTTTTCACATGGATTGTCCTTGGATCCTGACAACAACTCTGGCAAATTATACCCATGCTATAGATGAAAAAGGGAACACACAGAATTACACAACTGATTCAGAATCATACTACTAGCACTTTGGAATAGAAGTAGGGAATAGCACTGAAAAGTATTTTGAGGCCAAATAGAAAATCCCAGCCCTTGAGCTCATCCTGTATTCCTGTAGGCAGAGGGGAGCCATTGACAGTTCTTCGCAGGGGACTGGCATATACTAACCACAGTGGCTGAAATCCGAATGCACCCTCAGTAGAACACACACACATGCAATTTTGTGAGGTAAGAAAGGAAATAAATGATAAGGAATCCTATGGAATCACTTACTGGGAATAAAGAATTGTTGAGAATTTCCTAAGCGGTATGTTTTTCCCACAGTTGTTTTTGTCATGGAATTGACCAAAATGTCAGACATGACAAAGCTCCACCAGGCTGTGGCTTCAGGGGACTACAATTTAGTGAGAAAGATTTTGAAAAAAGGTCTCTGTGACCCAAACTACAAGGATGTGGACTGGAATGACCGAACCCCACTTCACTGGGCGGCAATCAAAGGTGAGTGGGCACTGCCTGGGTAGAGTCCATCCCCTTGAGTCTACCGTTCATGGAGTTACCAGTCAGTAGTCTGTGTAGGTAGAGGAAAGGGCATCACTTGAGAGCTAAATGGAGCATATCAACCCTGGCCCCACCACTTACTGGTTGTAGCAACTTAAGCAACTTATTTAATATCTCTAGGCTTTAATTTATTCACCTACATAATGGGAACAGTGATTACCTGGGAGTCTTATGGTGATGATTCAGTAAGATGATGGGTGCATGGTGCCAGCTCATAGTTTGCTCTCAACTAGTATTAGTGCTCTGCCCTCTTGACCTCCAACAGGGAAGGTAGGACAGGGACTCTGTCTTGTTCATTGCTGTATCCTCCATGCCTCACATGGCTCAGTTACAGAAGTGGAGGAGGGTAGTGTGCAAAAACTCAGCCATTGGGCTTGTCAAGCCCTTCGGCAATAGAACACCATCGAAGAACATTAAGGAAGACAGTGTTACAGTCAACTTTGCTTTTAAAAAACCTGTTTTGATTTCTGTATGAAGAATAGATTGGCAGGAAGCAAGACTAGCTTCAGAGAAATCAGTTGGGAGAATTTTGCAGAAATTTGAGCACAAAGTGAGGGTAGTTATACTAAAGAAGCTTTTAGTGAACATTTGCTGTGTGCTGGGTAGCACGGTGTGCAGCCTTTGGCTGTGGTTTCCTTTGGACTTCAAAAGAACTTGGGGAGGTGAGTCATAACACTTTTCACTTACAAATGAGGAAACCTGAGCCTCAGACCTCTGTTTCTTGTCTGGGATTCCACACTTAGCAAGTGGTACTTACTGGGAGGTATGAGTCCACACCTATTGGACCCCAAACTGTGTGTTTTTAATCTGCGCTAGCTATAAAGTAAGTGGGACTTAAAATATTTTTTATTGAGGTATAATTGATATACAACATATCAGTTTCAGGTATACAACATAATTAAATTTTTGTAGATATTATGAAATGACACCACAACTTCACTTTAAGTGAAGTTAAAATCCATCACCACATGTAGTTACAAAAAAAGTTGTAGTTTTTTTTTTTTTTACAAAAAATTTCTTGTGATAACTTTTAAGATCTCTTAGCAGCTATCAAATATGCAAGACAGTATAACTAACTACAGCCACCCTGCTGTACATTACATCCCCAGGACTGACTTATTTTATAACTGATGTTTGTACCCTTTGATCCCTGTGCCCATTTCTTCAACCCCTCCCCCTCCCCCACCTCTTGTTCACTGTACCTGTGATCTTGGTGTCCCTTTGTTTTTTTAGATTCCACATATAAGTGAGACCATATAATATTTCTCTTTCTCTATCTGGCTTACTTCATTTAGCCTAACACCCTCAAGTTCCATCCATATTGTTGCAAAATACTTGCTTTTGAATCACCCCTGAAACTGCCAAAAGTGCAATGAGCCCTACCAGTGCCCACATGGGCTTGTGTAGGGTGATTCGGGGAAGCAAGATTCCTAGGAAGGGCCTGTGGGAATGGACGGGGAAAGGGAGTGCCCCGGAGGGAGTAGAGGGAATCTTTGCAGAGCCCAGAACTCTGGAGGGAGCAAGGTTCATGAGTTGAGGGTGGAGCACTGAGTCCTCAGTAAGAGAGGGAGAAGGAGGAGGGGATGATGCTAGGAGACTGGAAGGGCCCCAAAGCAAATGTCATCCCTTTTTTTATCCTATCTAGGCCATCTCTGGCCTCATTGGGGCAGAGACATTTTAATCTCAACCTCCTCCTGTTTCTTCTTGCTACATCTAAGGGCACATGGAGGTGATGCAGGTCCTTCTAGAACATGGAGCCAGGCCCTGCCTGGTAACTGATGTGGGCTGGACCGCAGCTCATTTTGCAGCTGAGTCAGGCCATGTGAATGTGCTCAAAGTTCTCCACGGACTGCGTGCCCCCATCGATGCCCCCGACTTCTTTGGAGACACGCCAAAGAGGATCGCACAGATCTACGGGCAGACCGCCTGTGTGGCCTTCCTGGAGAAGTAAGTTTCATTTATTTCCTGTTAGAGAAATGACAGAGAAACAGGAGCCTGGAGTCAAGGTCTTTGCCAACTCAGTGGTCTGTGGTCCATGAAAATGAAAGAAGCAAATTCAGCCCACTGTCGTTTGAGTTTTTTTATTTCTTTTCCCTGAAATGACTAGTTTGGGTGGAAACTATATTGTTTTAGATGATGTGAAATCTACTATTTTTATATGATGCTAAAATTACAATTATCATGACACATATTTACAATAATTTTAACAATATATAACTTAAAATTATTGTTTTAGATTATACAAAAATTATCTCAGATAAGAGAGGTGGGACACAAGCTTGAAATGGGTCATGGTACAAGATTCATGGAGCCCCTTCAGATTCTTGAAAGGTATTCCAATTAGCTGTGTGACCTTGGGTGTTTTTAAGTCACCTTGCTGAGCCTCAGGTTTCTCATATCAAAAATGGAGCTGGTGAATTAGGCTCTCAGCGGTAAGGGCCTTTCTACCTTTTAAAACTTCTATTCATCTACGAATCTTCTACTCACACAGTCACCAAAGATCATGAATTTTCTAGCAGTTGTTAATTTTTTCTCTCACCCACTGCATTCGAATAGAATTAAATATCAATTATTTACTTGATAGGTACAGCATTGGGAGGGATGGAATTGGGGAATTTATAATCTGGTTGAGTTAATAGGTAATTCATATAAGAGGCAGTAAAGTAATTGAATGAGGGCAGCGTTGCTTGAAAACCAAAATAAGATCCATAGCAAATCTATCTATAGGGCAGCTCAGGGTGGGAAGGGGGAATGACTGTATAATGCCCTTGTAAGAATTAGCAAATGAAGTTATCTTCTGGAAGTTAAACTATTAAAAGAGTTGCTTATGATGAGATTAGATATCTGTAGGAGTAACCCAAGAGACCTTCTCTTAACAGTGATGTCTGCATTAAAAATTTTCAAAATCAGGAGTGCCTGGGTGGTTCAGTTGGTTAAGAGCCTGCCTTTGGCTCGGGTTATGGTCCTGGGGTCCTGGGATCAAGCCCCATGTCGGTCTCCCTGCTCAGCAGGAAGCCTGCTTCTCCCTCTCCCTCCACCAGCTGCTCCCCCTGCTTGTGCTCTGTCTCTGTGAAATAAACAAATAAAATCTTTAAAAAAATATTCCAAATCATAATCAAGTTGATTTTGGGGGTAAAAGAAGGAGAACCTTGAGTCCTAACTTGAAGACTCTTCTCCCCAATCCTGCACCATCTCCTACGTTCAGTGACCTCCATCCATTGTGGACCTCAGCACCTAAAACATTGTTCTCTGAACTTCTAAAAACTCTAACATATCACTCTGCAACCATAGCTCGCTCTCTTCATTTTGCCAGTTCCTGGATCACCACACAGGTATTTACTTGCAGACCTCTTCTCATTCAACTTCTTTCCCTCCCAATTGATGCCAGCCTGAAGGTTTCATGATTTTCCATCTGTCTGCCAGTTGGACACCATGATACACCACCTCTTCCCCTCTCTTTCCAGCATTCTTAAATTTTCAACCTTCATCCTCCCGTACCATGTGACCCAGAATTCCCAGCCTTGTCTCAGTCTCCGTCTTCTCCGTGCCTGTGCTTGATCTGGGAAAGAAAAGCCCACAAATAATTTCATAGGTACCGCCAGAAGTTCTGGGATTTCTATCTTCAGCTGAGCCCTCAGAACAGTTTGGTGATCTGTCTCCCTGTCCTGCTCCTTTGCTGACAGTTCACATCCCCATCTCCCCAGCCTGTCCCTCAGAAAGTGGGCTTTCTACTGCATAGAGAGTATTGAAGTCAAGTGTTTATACATTTAAACCTCTTCCTTCATGTTGTCCCTCCTTATGGACCCTGACCCAAACCTTTATATCTCCTACAACGTCATCATCCCTGTATTCTTTGTTGCATCTTTTATTCTCCTGTATTTTTAGCTTTTTTCTATTCCTTCCCCCTCAGTCCTCTGTGGCCTTTGAACATGTTCAAATAGATCTTATTGAACAAACACACAAATATTTAGAGATCCTTCTACTGTCTGCTGTTTCTTTCTTCTTCCTGCATTTTTTTAAAAAAGATTTATTTCTTTATTTGAGAGGGGAGGGGAAGGTGCAGAGGGAGGAGGAAAGAGAGTCTTACGGAGACTGCACGCTGAGCATGGGGGCCTACACGGGGCTGGATCTCTTCCTGCATTTCTGTGCTACTTAAATGTCAATCTATGTGATTAAATGTTAATCTATGTGGGTGTCTTCCTCACCCACCTTTGCATTTCTTTTCCGTGTTGTACTGAATCAGCGCTCATCCAGGGAGATCTCTGTTGCTAAATCAATGGCCTCTTTCCAACTCCCATCTTCCCTGCACTTATTTTGATATCTGGTTACTCTTCTCTTTTGGCATGTCTCTTTGAAAAACTCTTTCTCTTCTCTGGTGCTGTTCTCTCCTATTTCTCCTTCACCTGTCTCATCATTTCTTCTCATGATTTTCTTGAGCTCCTATGCTCGCATGCCTGAAAGAGGCTGAAATTCCTCAGGATCCTGTCCTTGGCTGTCCTCGGCTGACTCTTTCTGCAAAAATCCCAACCCCTCCCTGGTGATTAGTGGGTGGACGAGGGTGACACATGATCCCAGCACAACTGAAGCAGAGGAGGAGTGGTTCTCCAAAGAGTGGGGGGTTGTCAGTATGAGGAAAAGTGGGCAGGCAGAGCTGAGCAGACAAAAACAACAAAGGTCAGCCACATCACGCGTAAGTCATTTCTAGTGATCATCATCTTCCAAGAGGAACTTCTTTTTCAACAGTTTACAGGGTTCAGAGAGAAGGGATCCTGATTAAGGGAAAATTAATCTGGACCTTGAAAGACAGCTAAGATCTGACTAATGAAGGAGGGAGAAAGATTCTTGATTTGGAGTGAAGGCATCAAGTTGGAAATGTGCATAGGGTGTGTGGATGTGTGAGGACGTGCCGAGATAGTGGGGGGACAAGGACCAGGAGGAATTTCCTAATGCCTCTTGTTGCAAGCAGGGGGGCTCCTGGGCTAGGGTGATGAAGAGAAAGGATATAAGAGAACTTCAGAAGAAGCCTAGATAGTATTTGACCCTTTTCCGAGTAAATCTCTCTTTCAATAAATATTTTTGAGCCCTACCATGCAGATGGCTTTGAACCAGTTGCTAAAAAGGATTTAGAGTTGAATCAGAGACAGAGCTGGACATTAAGTTCCCAAGAGAGGAGATCCTTGTTTACAGAAATAGCATGAATACAGGCTAGAAAGTGGCAAAGGTGGAAAGAACAGGGCGGAGGAGCTATTCTATATGGTCTAAATAAAGAGCCGTCACTTCTAGCTTGTTGAAGGGATGCGGACTGAGGGTCAAACAGGTTTGCTCTCTTCTCATTGAACCGTGCTTTTTGCACTTTACTTCAGACCATACTTTCGTATGTTTCCCCTTGTCCATGTGTATATGATGATTGATTCACCTATTTCTGTATTATCTATTATATTGTTCCATATCTATCATCTGTCCATATAGATCATCTCGCTATTCTTTCCACAAATCCATCTACACATACCATACATATGTGATTACGAGTCCTTTTTATTTCTTTTGTATATATTTCCATACTTTAAAATCTTACACGACAAACAGACATGGTTTTATAATCAGGATAAAATACAATGGGAATAGAAAGGAAGGAAAGCCGCCTCCTGCTAAGATTCTGGAGGCTCTGTACATGTGAATGCTTTAGAATTAGCAGCCCCTTCCTCAGGCTAAGTGCCTGTCCTTGATTCTATGAATGTCCCACTCAGGGGCTTGCCACTTTCCTCCGTGTCACAGTCATGTCCTTAGTGTCTGAGGCATCCTACAGGTGCACTGGGAGATGCTGGAGCTCGGCCTCCTTCCTTCTCTCCTGGACTGCTGTCGTGGCCAGCCTGTGTGCAGAGGGTGGGAAGAGGGGCCCATGCTGCAGAGGGGACAGGCTCTCCTGGCCAGCCAGGAGCTGAGGGCCACCGTCTTCCCCCTCTCCAGGGCTGAGCCCGAGTGCCAGGACCACCGGCGCACTGCCAGGCAGAAGGGGCTGCCTCTGGACCAGCAGGACGAAGACTGGGATGCCAAGAAAAGGGAGCTGGAGTTGTCTCTCCCTTCCTTGAATCGAAACACTGATAAGAAAATGAATAAAACAATTCGAGCCCCCACCAGGCCTGGCCATATGAAGGAGAGACGGGAGTGAGAAGGACAGCATCCTCGGCGGCTCTACCATGCAGGTCGGCTGCGGGGGACTGTCCCTGGACCAGAATAGGAGTTGTGAGACCTGTACCGTCATTATGTGATGTTACTTAGAGACCGTTACCCAGATGACTTCTTTTGGTAGCTCAGCACTTGCCATTGGATCTGAAGCCTTGATGGGTGTTCTCTGCTGGAGCAGCTGCCTCCCTGCTGAGGCGCACTGTCCCCAGGAATTGCCAGGAACGGCCGACCGTTCGCTGCTTGTACGTGGTCACCAGTCATTTGCCCTATCAGCATCCTCTGGCCCTGCTGTGTTGTTACAGAATTTCAGGAGGCAATGAAAGTTCTTCTTAAGAGAACTCGATTGTTGAGATGGAAAACAAACAAAAAAGTAGTAATAAAATCTCAGAAATTTCCTACCTACTCAGTATAGTTAATCGGTGACAAATACGATTTGTTGTCCCATAAACGAAGCAAAGAGGTGAACAAAGGTAGCTCCCAGCTTCCAGCTATGGCTTTCCTGTGTGGGGTGGAGGGCCACAATCCCAGAGCGGTCATTTCTACCAATGATCACTTCCCCATAGGAAGAGAGATCCGGGCGATAGACCAACTTGGTGAGCGAGAACTGGGAGCACAGACGAGGATTTGTTCCATGTAACAAACGAGGGGTAGCATGAAAACTAGGACGTGTGATTCCGTCTTTACTGTTTGGTGTGCGTGTTAGGAAATCTCAGTACAGATCAGGTTATTTCCAGTTAAAATGTCACATCCAACCTGAGATGTGCTCTACATGTGAAATACGTATCAGAGTTTGAATATTTAGAACAAAAAAGGTAAAGTGGTTCATTAACAATATTATTGATTATGGGTTGAAATGATCATATTTTGGATAAAATATGTCACTGGCAGGAATTTTGCTCTCTTTCTCTCCACTTTTTAAAATACGTGGCTGCTAGAGTGTTTAAAATTACATGGCTGGCTTGCTTTGTTTTTGTTTTGTTTTGTTTTGTTCTGTTCTGTTTTGGGGGGGGGTTGTTTGTTTATTTGGCCTATCAGATAGTCCTGCAGTAGAAACCAGAAAATATTTAGAGCCTCCACCAGGCAGCTGGCCTGATAAACTCCAGTTAATAGTTTTTCTACCTAAATCAATGTCTTTGGGCACCTAACATCCTCATTACACATTCCTCAATTAATGCTTATGTTAATACAGGCCATGCTTGGTTTGAATTCTCTGAAATGAATAAATGCTTGAACCTCTGGTAGGAAAGTCGTACAGCTACGGAGGATACCTTTTCTAGTGTTTGTATCCATCCTGAGCATCAATCCCCTTTTTCTATGCTCAGCAAGTCCCAGAGGTGGTTCCTGCTTGCCGTGCTCCTATTGGTCCTCAACCAGGGTACGAACTTTGGAAGACACCTGACTCAAGCTGGACCACTCAGATTCTTATCCTGGGAGCCAGCTGTTTCTGGCGTCTGAGACTAGGCTCTGGTACAGGGGGGTCTCCGCCTCTGTCCTGACCTGCCCCACACTGCCCTTGACAGCTGTGCAGAGTCCATCCTCTCTCAGAGTTCACACTTCCCCCTCCTGCTAGCCACAGCTCATGCAGAGGCTTGCAGTTGGAGAGGGGGTGGGGGTGGGGTGGAAAAAGACCCAGGCTGCAACACAGAGCACCCCCAAGTTGAAGAAAGGCCTGTCGTTTCCCCCTTCATCCTGAGACCCAGTCTTCGCAGGGGTCTACCCCCACCAATGAGCCCCTCCCTCACTGGCCCTCATTCACCTCACTAAGCCCCCTCCATCTCAGAGCACTCAACCACATCCAAGAGTCTCCTCTCCACAATTTCCCCTCCACCCTCAGCCCTAGCAACATCCTCAGAAAGGCATAGACAGGACCTATGACTGAGCCGGGCTGTGGGTGGAGAAGTGGGAGCAGGATTGGGTTCTGCACTTCCCCTCTTGCCTGGGCCTTCCTGGGCTCCCTACCTCCCTGTGTAGCCTCAGGAGCAGAAGGGTCTCTATTCCCACCTCTGCCCTCATCACTGCTTCTGGTTCCTGAGCTACTCACAGCGGGTCTTCCTCTGGAAGAATATGTCTGCCTAAGTGCCAGCTACCATGCACTGGGATGAAAAAACAGCAGGGAAATCTCGCCCAAAGATCGGACATGGTGGGTGGCAGTTTTGCTTGGTGTGGTCAGGCACCCATTTCGGAGGAACATTGATGACCAGAGCTTGTGGGCCAGGAGCTGGGAAGGGAGGAACTGGGAAACCCTGGGGCTGAGCCTGCTGCCCAGGCCTGGCCCCTCAGCCTTGGTAGGCTCCTTGGAGGAGAATTAATAGAAGCAGGAGCAGTATATACAGGTGGGTGTTTTAACAGCCAGGACTCCCACAATGAAACTGGCTGCTCTGGAGGTATCCAAATGGAGGTGGGTGAGCCCATTTTGGGGATACACAAGACTACCCACAGAAGTAGGCTGGACTCGGGAATTTCTGTGGCCTCCCTCAGATTTCACATCTCCACCTGGATAATTAAATTTTTTTTTAAAAAAGGAAAAAATGTTAAAGGAGTCTTCTCCTGGTAACTTGAAAAGGAATCATGATAGGATAGACCAGTAGCATATAACTTCAGAAGCATGGAGTGGCTCATTCTACACGGGGCTGAGGAAGTGTCCGAAGGTGCTCCACAAAGAGAGAAGACTGAGGTAAAAGATGGCAGGTGTAGGGAGGGAGGGGTGGGGGCAGGTGGGGACATGCACGCACATGCACAGCTTTCTAGTTTCCAGTTCTGGTTCTGTACTCAGGAAATCTGTGAAATACTACTTTCATAATAGTATTTCCTCTTTTGCTTACAGCATATTGAATTGATTTCCCCCAGCAGTCTTTTCTAATAAGTACCGTATTTTATGATCATGGCCTTATGAGTCAAGTGGGCTTGGGTTTATATCCTCCTCCATGAAATTGGCAAAATAATCCTTCCTTCCTGGGACTGCAGTGGGGATGAGATGAGATGTGTGGACAACACTGCCCTTGGCCCTCTGTAAAAGGTCCATGTGATGGTTATGTTGTTACTATAGGAGTAGGCTCAGTTTTCTCCTAAGAATCCTGAAGGGGGCCAGAAATAATATCCTGTATGGGTCCCATGAGCCTCTCCATCGTCCAGTCCATAAATATGCCCTGTCTAGTTTCATGGAGTGGGTCGTAATCTGTCTTCCATTGGCTGGACAACCCTGGACCAAGCTGTTAAGTGTTCTCAGGGTCCTTTACTGGGGTCATACCCCCATGGCCTCCCGCTGTCCTTGCTAAATCCTCCTTTCATTGTTTGTTTCATAGAGGCATTGGGAAGAGAAAGAGATTATGTGTAGTAAATGAGATCAACAGGAAGAGGACGCTATGAAGAAATTATTGCAATGCGGATTCTGCACTAAGTATATATTACATCTAATCTTCACTACTCACCTGGGAGGCAGGTCTTCCTATCCCCCAGTGACGTCACAAACTACAATTCTGAGAGGTGATGTGACTCGCTCTAGGCCACCAGGCTAACGCTTCTTTAGCCCTGAAAGCCTGCCTGGATTAGAACGAGTCCCAACCCTTCGGTCTGTGGGATCATGGTCAGGTTGCTCATCGGCTCTAGATTCCTCACATGTAACCTGAATTTTAGCTGAGTGCTCAACAATTCTGAGATTTTGAGACAGAAGACACATACTTCTTCAACATCCCCCACTTTACTTTTTTATTTTTTTAAGATTTATTTATTTTTTGGGGGGGGAGGGGCAGAGGGAGAGAGAGAATGTCAAGCAGACTCCCTGCCACGCACAGAGACCCACATGTGGCTTGATTCCACCACCCTGAGATCATGACCTGAGCTGAAACCAAGAGTCTGACATTCAACTGACTGAGCCACCCAGGCATCCCTCAACATTCTCCATTTTAAATAACCCCTTAGCAATGCTTACTCTCTTCTATTCTCTGTGTTTTCAGAACCATGACCCGCTGAGGTGCTTGCTGAAGGCAAAGGAAATGCCGAATGGGTAGTGTAAGTAGGTAGTAACCAATACCAGCTGTGAGCCTGAGATCGGTTATTGAGACAAGGACTGGGATTCTCACGTGTCTTCCTTCTTAGTTTGTTAGGAACATGTTTGTTGTGTATGTGTGTGCGTGTGTGTGAATGCGAAATCCGACAGCCACTTGGGAAAATATTTTGTCAATTTCTTATATAGTTAAATATACACCAGCAACTGCACTCTTAGGTATGCACCCAAGTGGAATAAAACTTATGTTCATATAAAATCTGTGTGTAAGTATCTATAACTGTTCTGTTCCAAATTGCCAGAAATTATGGGAACGATCTAAATGTCCTTCACGGGTGTGTGGGTAAACAAACTTGGTCCATCAGTACCATGAAATGTGTATTACTTAGTAATAAAAGGGAACAGACTGATACACACAACGACATGCATGAGTCCCAAATGCATTATGCTAAATGGAAGAAGGCCAGACTCAAAGGCCTGTTTGTTTGTTTGTTTTTTTAAGATTTTATTTATTTATTTGACAGAGAAAGAGAGATCACAAGTAGGTAGAAAGGCAGGTGGAGAGAGAGGGGGAAGCAGGCTCCCCGCTGAGCAGCTGAGCAGAGAGCCAGATGCAACGTGGGGCTCAATCCCAGGACTCTGAGATCATGACCTGAGCTGAAGACAGAGGCTTAACCCTCAGAGCCACCCAGGTGCCCTCAAAGGCCTGTTTAAATAATTTATGGGACAATTCAGAAAAGACACAGGTAGGACAAAAACCAAAGTGGTTGCCAGGGACTGGAGATAGAGGGGAAGACTGTCTCCGAAGAGGCACAGGTCAGTTTTTAGGGTGATGTAACTGTTTCATGTTTTGATAGTTGTAGTTGTGTGATTATAGGATACCCTAAAAAGTATAAACATTCCTGTATGTAAATTATGCCTTGCTTTTTTTTTTTTTGGTAGGAGGAAGGAATTAATGTTTACCTAACTCATACACTGAG